AGACTCGTATATAGACGATCGCTACATAGAGTATGTTGCGTCGGTGCTCTCGGACGCTCATCCAACCACTGCAGAGCGGCTCCGGGTGGACTTAAGCAGCAGTGCCACAAACAGTGTATAGTTGAAACAGTATGTAAATAACAAGGCAGATCGCAAACTCGACTAAGGCTACAAAATAAGGGGACCGGTTTGAAATCCAAGAAAGCAAGAACAAAACTACGTCGTGCACTACAAACGTAGAAATGCAAACAAAGCCAAGAAGAAAAAAACCTTGGCAAAAGGTTATCGAGTAAATTATTACCAAAAGGGGGGGGAAGAATCACAGCAAGAATCAAAGCAGCTACGATAGCAAAAAGGACAGCAAAGACAAACGTGCATAGCGTAGGAAAAGCAATTGTCCAAAGTATGGATACAGGACAACGCACATCCGCTAGTTGTGGCGAAACCTGGCAAAACCTTTGAGGGTCTTCTTAATGCCAATAGACATCGTCCGAAAGGATATCAGCAAGGCCTAAACGACGACCAGAAGGCCTGGAAGGCATGTAAGAACTCCCTTCATTAACAAACAGCAGAGGCAGGTTGACAGGAGGTACAGAAGCTGTGGACAGCTGCGTGGTAGCCGAGTATGCTGAAGTAGAAGTCAACTGTGTGGCGTCGGATTCGTATCCCGTATCCAGCGCCAGGGTGGATTGGGAAGGGGATGGTGCCTCGGACGGGGACGTTTCGACAGATGGCGACGAGGTCTGAGACTCGTAATCTGCAGGCGTTTCGATGACTATTTCCCCCGGTATTTGAGCCGGCGTGGCGTCAGGAGGGCTGTTACCGGGAGTACGAGGCTTCCTCGGTTTCGGGACGTATTCTGTGGATAAGGCAAAAAGAGTGAGAACCACATGAACGTGAAAGAGAACAAGCTGATAAGAACTTACCATGTCGCCTTTTTCTGTGGCGAGTGAGTGAACCTGGATCGCCAGTAGCAAAATTGCAAGTCGGACACTGCTGGTCCTTGACCTTCGTGCTTAAAAGGTTAAAGAAATAATTCGATCAGCACACTTTGGTCATGCGGCATGCAAACAACGACGACTTACTGTTTGCGGATGTGCGTGTCTACGTTGACTTTTTGGAGGCTCTTGTACGAGCAGTCCGCGTAGGGGCAAGAGTACGATCTATATTGAGATTGAGATTCAATGGGTAAGGAAAGCCTTCAAGCGACGTCGACAAGAAATTGTGGCGTACATCGAGGCCTTCTCCTCTGCGCTCAGATGGGACTGCATGTGTCTCGGGATGTCGCCTTTACGAGCTACCCTTGTCCCGCATACTTCGCAAACGGTCGGGTCCCTCGAAGTTTCGGTATTCTAGACGCCACTGATGATGAGCAAGAGGTAACAAGCTAATCATTCACAAGGCAGACGTACCGAAGCTAAAACTTTGGGCATGGTTGCGAAAGATTATTCGAAGACTGAAATTCGGCTGAGGATGTGGTAGTGAAAGAGAAGGATGTGATGTGGCTTGTCTATTGGAATGTTATACGCCTTCTTTTAACAGGATGGGAGTAGCGGTCGTGTTGATGTGGGTTTTTAATCCAAGCCGGCGTCAAGAAATTACCAACGATGTTAACTTTTAATAATAAAAGCCACTCGCTTGTAAAAATCTCGCAGTCGAAGAACTAGAACACCATCTAGGGTAGAAAGAATCTGTTTAAGTATATTTGTCGGAAGGGCACAAAGGAAAAAGGAATTCAGTACTTGATTCCTCGGGAATGGCCTTGTTTCCAGATTGGGGATTGGGGGTGACATCCAAGCGATCGCTGATTTATTGTGATAACGCCATCAAGGTGGTGGAAACGCGATTGTCCAACAGATGAATGTTTGAATCGTTGATGAGGGCTGCTGAAAAATTCAGCGTTGAGAGCCCCCACAGCAGACCTAGCGACGATTCTGTTCGCCACAGATTTTTTTGTAGGTCGCTCTGAAGCTGACATCCAGCGCTAAGAACGGGAGAGTCGTGACAATCGCCATTGTCTGAGTTAGAAATCATCAATTGAACGATGTGAACATGGGAGACCTTGCTTTATTCTCTCGGCAATTTCCCGAAAGCAAAGAGCTCGATTTTTTCGTAGTATTTCTGAGCCTACACACGACCCGGGAAGTGCGTGCGAACGGGATATATCTTAACCAAGACCTCATGGACATCAACAGGAATTTCAGGCGAGTGGCGTATAGCCTCACTAGCAATTTGAATCTTACGCCCTTTAGGTCTTAAATGAGGTATTTATCTTCCGGCGTACGAGGGGAACCAATCGTGATCAATATGGACCACAGCGAGAAAAGCGCCGGTGGTGTGCCTATTTTCTGTCCTTGACGAAGACCAAGCTTTGAATACATCCAGATTGCTTGTTCGACGAGCGAAGGCCATCCTTACCTTCAACGCCAGCATCAACCTAGTCTTTTCCGTACGAGCCGCGTCACCCAGCGAGGCGGGAGCGTTGCCGGAAGTTTGAGAGTTCTGAAGGTCCTCAGGCTGCGTCGGGGAGGTCCGCTTCTAGTGGAATGCCTCTGTGCCATCGTGAAGGACAGGACCCCCAAACGGGAGGCTCGCTCGGAAAGCAGAAGTTCCCTGAGCATTGTTTCTCCCCGCTGCCTGCCCTCCCACCGGACAGTCGTTGGTCGTTGGCACTCTAGAAGCTCCGATGACTTCACTCGACGGCGAGTGAGGACCCGCTGTGCTCTAGACCATCACAATCGAGCAGCTATTAGAACCAATCGACATGATCTCCATACTCGAGGACGGAGCAGTCGTCTGCGCGCGGTGGGCCGCATCTTTGTGCATAGGCCAAGCTCCTTCCATCCACAAGACTATGATAGTCAAGCTGCTGGCATGATATTGAGCTATAGGGACAGCAGCCTTCAGAAGAGATCCCTTCGCCTTATATACAGACAGCGGAGACCCTCGGAAACCCGGACTCGGTATCAATAAGTATACCAATCCGACTTGCCACACGACAGGTCGAGTTGCCGGACAACCTGCACTTCGCTGAAACGGCAGTCTTCGAGTCGGAAATGAAGGTGGGGGAATACATCCAATCTATGGTCATAGTCATGTGTCTCCCAAGGAAGCCGACGTCGATCATCCGCCATCTCACTTCCACTCCTGGCAGCTATCATAAGCCGAGATGTATAGCACTAAAGCGGTAGAGTGCTTCGCCGATATCCTCCGCTCGTCCATGGAGCAAGTACCGCATTCTAGGGCTTTCTCCGAGCCGCGGCAGGAGGAGATAAGCACCGTCCCGTTAAGACTTCGACTGTCGTAGCATAGCGGCGGTGTCACTGCCGATGTGAAGCTTGAAGGGGACAGGGAACTCCAGGAGACAGATGAAGACCGAACAATCCCTGCTTGAGAGTGGATACCGTCAAGTCGCTGTCACCTTCTGCTCGTACAGAGCAGCTCCAGATAGGGAATCAGGCCTCGAAGGAGTTTTCGGGTGCCAACGAGCGACGGGGCATAATCTGTGAAACGTGGAATGACGATTTCTGTTCAGCATCGAAAGGCGGAATTATAGTATGGAGCCAAAAGGAATATGCAATCGGAACACGGAGGGTTGGACAGAAAGCTACTTTCACTACCTTGCATTGGCCTCAATCTAGTCATTCCCGAAATAGATCGATTTTCTGCCATTCCTCTTGAGCGTAGAATACGACTAGGGAGCTTGAGGGGAAACAGGAAAGGACGTGGGATCGTCGTTTCAGCTCGGCACAGAATGTAGAGTGGCTCAGGAATCTACTGTTCCTTGGAGTTCCAACCACTGCAACGCACAGTACAATCTAGAAGACGAGTCGCGCACTTGAGTGTTTCCCCAGCACCCGAAGCCAAATACACATATTGCCGTCTCTATCAAACACCTATCTTCTTCGTCCGGCGGCAAGGAGCGCGTTCTTCTCAATTTCCACATTAGAAAGACCGTTTGAACTTCCACTCCCTTGTCATGGTCTTGATCAGCTACTTTGGAAATATTTCTCCAGAGACTAGAAGGACCTGAATGCGAACAACTAACAAGATAGGCATGTTGAGAGCAGCTCCTAGACCGCGTCGATAGCATACAAGCACGCAGGGGCTGAAGAACGATCTTGATGCTATCACCCGGGCCTCCCTCGACCACGACTAGCTCTTCGGGCTTCAAAATGCCCAGTATTGACCTTGCACTTGCACTTCTGTGAGCTGCCTTTGCCTTCAGGAACTGTGCCCGGAGGGTCAGTATACGAATCAGTCATTTGAGTTCTCAAAATATACAACTAACACTGCGACGCGCTCCTCAGGAAGAGGGCAGAATAGTACACGATAATTTGGCGTTAGTTCCTGATGAAATGAAAGCCCCTTGCGAGATGCAGCCGAACATTTCCTGTGGCAGGGCGTGAGCTCGCTGCTGGAGGGGAAAGAGGCATGAGGCCTGAGGTTCCAGTACCACTGGAGCTTCAAAGAATGTCAAGTCGGCTTGTACGTCGTCGGGAATGGTCCTTTGCCTCGAAACTGATCAGTACCGCTCAGCGTATTTGCTCGATAGGCAGCAAAATCACTTCAGACCTCGCTGGTGCGCTCCAGCACTACCTCTAGCCCCTCCTACTCTCGCCTTGATTTCACGACTCCCGTATTTGCTCCCTCACCCTGATCTACGATGCCTGGAAGAGGTTATGACTTCGCCTTTGGATCACATTGCCGAGTTGGAAATTGGGACGCCGTCGTGCGATTCCAGAGCTGGGCGAGAGGGAGACGTAGAAATACAGTAAGTATGTAGACTGTCGGTAGCTGACTAGGGAATACAGGGAGTGTTGACGGTTGTCTACAAATACATATCCGTTCAAAGCTTAATTGTATTGACATTTGTGGGACAACTGTGAGCAAATCACTACTGTGAATGACTCGTCGCTTCTTTTCTTTCACTTGGACTAGAAGAGTGGAACGCCGAACAGAACCTGGAAGGGGGTTTCGACCTTTAGGACCAAGAGGTGGGCTATCTAGTGCAATGGTAGCACATTTGGCTTCAATTGCTGAGCGTACCAAAAGGTTGTAAATTCGAGTCCTGCGGTGGTAACTTAAGGTGATTCTCGCAAAGATCGTTCCTTGTTTTACTACTTGGAAAGGTTCAGATTGACATGCATATTAGACTATCGTTGTTGCGTCAACATCCTCGGTTGATGCCCTCACTTCCTTCCCAGAAAATCCGGAGCGTCCACCCGCGACTAAAAACCGCGCAAACCAACGGACGAGCTAGAATACACCCCGCACAGTCCGCCTTGAGAACCTATATGACTTCATCTCGACTCCGATGCATCCCAAAGCCGCGGATTGGAGGGACGAATGGCAACGACGAAACTACGTAGCCCTGGCACCCATGCCCATTCCGCGTAGACAAACCACTTTAACCGCTACGAGATCCCCCTTCTTCTCGCTTACCACTTCCTCAATTATACGTTGGTGCGCTCCTCACCGTGGAATGCATTGGTTTTGACTTCACCAGAGTGGAGAAACACCATGCCTGTCTCTCAAGCCTCGCATGCCTCTCAAGCCTCTCAAGCCTCTCATGCCCCTGAAGATCTCAAGCCTTGCGTGTCTTCTTGTCTCTCAAGCCTCTCAAGAGCTCAAGCCTCGCATGTCTCTCAAGAGCTCATGCCATACAGTGGTTACGTCTGCGAAAGGGGCTTAGTTTTTACTTAATGTCTCTCTTGAATTGAGAGGTTGATGTCGATCCCCTCCTCCCTTATTTATCAAAGTCCTTTGACCGAGCGCATCCCATTCTATTTCCCTTGTCCTCCTCTTTGGACACAAGTCCCACCCGTAGCTATAACATACCCCACAGATACCCGTAACCCCTCGTAGAATCTCCCGCGAATGGAGCACTCCATCATTGTTGCGGCTCCCCAGTCCTACTAAGTACTTAGCCTTACTTCCTCGCGATAGTGAAGGGTCCAAAAGAGCTCTCGTATACAATCACTACTCGAGGAGAGTACGGTAGACTTGTGCAACAGTGTTTATTCGAAAAAGCATTTACTTAAATAATTATATAATAAAAGACTAAAGCTACAAGCTATCCATGGGCGAGGAGACCGGGTTTAACCCCAAAAAAGCACAACCAAAACTACGTCGTACACTACAAACGTAGTTTTGCGAGCAATGCCAAAATAGAGGTGCTCTGCATAGAAAAAATTACCGAGTTAAAGTAAGGACCAAAGCAACTACAAACCAAGAAGAGTTGCGAAAATAAACCAATATGTATAGCGTACAAGAGAGGCAGAAAGAAGGTAGCAAAAGAATGCACTTCCGCTGGCTGTAGCAAAGTCGCAGAAGAATCTCCTAATGCCAATAGACGTCGTCTGAAAGAATATCTGCAAGGCCCAGACGGCGACCAGAAGGCCTGGAAGGTACGTAGGAGTCCGATTCATCAACAAAAAGCAAAGGCTCGTATCCCGCATCCAGAGCGAGCGCGGATTGGGAAGGGGAAGAAGCTTCGGATGGGGGAGCTTCGACAAGTTGCGATGAGCCTTGAGACGCGTAGTCTGCAGGCGTTTCGATGATCATTTCCCCCAGAGTTTGAGCCGGCGTGGCTTCACGGGGTCCGTTTCCGGGAGTCCGAGGTTTTCTCTGTTTGGGGACGTACTCTGCCGATAAAGTAAGAAGAGTTAGCGCCAAATGGATGTTAAGAAAGAAAGCAGGTAACACTTGCCATGTCGTCGTTTCCGGTGGCGAGTGAGCGAGCCTGGATCACCAGTCGCGAAATCGCAAGCCGGACACTGAAGGTCCTTGACTTTCGTGCTTGAAAGGTAAAAAGTTAATAACCCCATCAGCGCATTCTAGTCATGGGGCATGCAGTCAACTAAAGCTCACTGTTTGCGAATATGCGTGTCTACGTTGACCTTTTGTAGACTTTTGTAGGTGCAGTCTTCGTAGGGGCAAGAGTACGATCTATATCGACATCCAACAGGGTAAAGAAAACGACTCAAGCGGGGGAGCGAAAAAGCTGTGACATACATCGAAGCCTTTTCCTCCGCGCTCAGGTGAGACTGCATGTGTCTCGGAATGTCGCCTTTACGAGCTACCTTTGTGCCACATAGCTCGCAAACAGTTGGATCCCTCAAACTCTCGGTTTTCTAGTCGCCATCATCAATGAGCAAGAAGTAGGAAGTCGTTCATTAAAGAAGCAGACGTACGGAAGCTTGAGTTTTAGGCATAGTGGCGAAAGATAACTCGAAGATAGGAATTTGGCTGAGAATGTGGAAGTAAGAGAGAAAGGTGTAATGTGGGTGACTAGAATGTTGTGTTCTTTTTGTCAGGATAGTAGTAGAGGTCAATCAGTGCGGGATTTCAATCTGTTTGGGCCGAGCGTCAAGAGATTACTAGCGTGTTACCTTGAGTGATGATTAAAGCTGCTCACTTATAAAGATCCCGCAGTTGAAGAGTTAGAACATCATAGAGGGTAGAAAGAGATTGTTTAATTATGTTTGTCGGAGCCGCAAGGAGTGTATTGATGAAGGGAGACAAAGGAAGAGTCTGAAAGAGGCATTTCTTCGGAAATGACCTTGTTTCCAGATTCCAGATGAGGGGCGTTATTCGAGTGATCGCTGATTTTGTTATGATACCGCTGTCAAGGTGGAAACGCGGTCGTTGAACAGACGAATTGTGAGGTTTGCTGTGGTACAGCGCTGAAAGCCCTCACAAAAAAACCTAGTAACAGCTCCCGATCGCCAAAGATTTTTTTGTAGGATATTCTGAGAGTAACATTCAACGCTGAGAACGGGAACTTGTGGGGCATACTTGTCATTGTCTGAGTAGGGCAACGAGGGGCAGCGTCAATTTCGATTGATGTAAGCATGGATTTGCCTACCTTTGTTCGCCGGCAAATTTCAGGAGACGAAAGGCTCAATTTTCCCTTTGAAAGTTGGTCATTGAACTTGCTATTTCACCCTTAGAATTCACGGCCTTTACGAGCTGAGGAATCCGTCTCCGTAGTATTTCTGAGCCTATGGACGACAGAGGTGCATGTGAATGGTATTTGGACTCGATATCGACAGGAATTTCAGGTGAGTGGCATATAGCTTCACTAGCGATTTGAATCTTACGCTCTTTCGGTCTCCTTCGCGCACAAGATGACAAGCAGTGTGCTCAAAATGGACGGCAGCTAGAGAAACCCCAGCAGAGTACTCAATTTTTGTCCTTCGGAATGTCCCACAAAGGCTGAGCTTCCAAGATGCATCCACATAGCTTCATCAACGAGCCGAGGCTCAACGCCGGCCTTCGATATTGCAGCGTAGCCATTACTATGCGAGTCGGGCCACAAAGCAAAGCGCAGGCGGTGCTAGGAAGTCGAAGTCTCTCAAGGTTCCGAGACATTTTTGCTACGTCGCGGAGGTACGCTTCTGGTGAAAGACTTTCGTACCATTGCGGAGGCCGTAACCCTCATACGCGAGGCTCGCTCGGACTGCGAAAGTCTCTCGGGCATTGCGTCTTCTGCTGTCTGGCTTCCTACTGGATCGTCGCTGTCAGTTTAAAGGCAGCTCCGCTATGGCTAGCAAGGTCCCTCAGTGCTCTGAACCGTCATAATCGAACAGACGTCAATCCCCACTGCTATGATCCTCGTACTCGAGGGTGCGTTCTTTCGGGCGCCAGGACTTCGGGGATGATTCCCACGGTTTCTCTGGGCACCCTGCGTCGTCCAGACCGCAGTAGTCGAGCTGCTGGCACAGTATTGAGCTATAGGGACAACAGTCATGGGAGGGGGAGAGAGTCCGGAGTCATTCCCCTATATACGGTCAACAAAGCCTCCCGGAGACTTGGTCTCGGTATTGATAGTCTACCAATCCGATCTGCCAGACAATATTCGAGTGCCACTGAACGTCGCTAAAACAGCAGCCTTCAAGTCGAAATGAAGGTGGACGAACAACCGACGTATGTTCGCAGTCATATGTTTCTCCGAGCAAGCTGGAAGACTCGATGTTGATCATCCGCCATTTCAGTTCCGTCCCTAGCAGCTATCAAGAATCGAGGTGTATGGCACTAAAGCAAGAAAGTGCCTAGCCGTCGCCTTCCACTCGTCCATGGGGCAGCCCCCACGTTCCGGAGCCTTGCACGAGTTGCAGAGCTATTAAAAAACCCTTCCGATAAGATTTCGACCTTCGTAGCGCAGCAGCGGTGTAAGGCTTAAGGGGGCTAGAGGCTCGGAAAACAGGTGGAGACCAATAGGCGATAATGAACAAGATATTCTGCGCTCAAAGAGCTCAAAGACTCGGAAAACGGAAGACGGTACAAGACGATATCGCCACGCCACTACCGCCTCAACCCATCTCCGAGCTCGAGAAGTCGGATCAGCCCCTCTTGACTTCAGGAAACAACCAGGAGAGCTTGAGGGGAGACAGGAAGGAACAGGAGATCATAATAGTGGCGCCACAATCCTGTTCCGAGAAGGCAGAAAGGATTAGGAATACCTTTTCCCCGGAATTTCAATTGCTGTAACACACGGTAAAATTGCTGAGACGAACCGCACATTTGAGCCTACAACAAGATTGTTCAAGAGCTGACCGAGCTTCCGCTCTCCCTCCTCCTCCTGATCAGTTGCTTCCAGGAAGTCTCTGCATGCTGTGCGGACCGTTTTCTCACATCCTCATTATCATCATGGTCCAATCCCCAGCTCGTACCCGACTGCTCCGGCGTAGGAGGTAGCTCCGCTAACATCGTCTGAATCTACCAAGGCCCCCGTTCCTCCCTCAGACGCAGATTTTCAGCCTACAAAAGAACCCGGATTTGGTCAGTACGCCATGATCAATCGGAAAAGTAACTCACCTCGATAACTCTGAATCGTTGTTTCTGTAAACCTCTTCCTCTCGACGTCCAGCTCCTTCTGCAAGACCCCCAACCATTCGCATCCGGCGTCGAAAGCCAGATATCCAGACTTTGGCGACAGGATACAAGTACAATAGAAGCACGACAACCTGGGTGCTACCAATGCCCGAGCCTTCTCTCTCGACCACAACTAGTTCTTCGAGTTTCAGGGTGCTTTAGGATAGACCTGGCAGGCATTGCACGCGTATTATAGTTTGCTCT